TTACGATGTGATGTTGCTAGCCTCACGCCCAACCTCCAACCTGGAGGAATATTCTTCAGTCACTCCAGAAAAACGACGAAATGCCAAGACCGCTTCCTTCAAAATCCCTTCCGATTCATCTTTCGCCAATCTGCCTAACATTCGATACTAAATAATCAGAGATATTTAAAGCGTCGTAAAGTGAACTACAGCGAATAGTTGTGGGCAGAACTACTCCCCTACTTTCCTTTGGCATGACACCGAACGTACAGAAAACGACGCCTCCAACAATTCTTCGTTGCCGCAGGGACGTCATTAACTAGCAACGGTAAAGAGATACACAGAGAGGCCCACAGACACACTCGCCCAATAATTCTTCTATTGCTCCGTCTAATATTTGCAGCGGGAATATGTTTACCGAGCTGTTGCCTAGCAACGAAAGAAAGGATACACATACAGACGCACAGACTGGTGAGAGGGATTTATGAAGTGCGCCGTTATGATGGGCTCAGGTGCCGTGATATATGTACAGATTTTCTTAAAGATTGGTTCAGGCATTCAAAATGTATTCGTTAGCACACAGACAGCATGAAGAATGCATCGATTTGATTTTGTATTTACAAAATAAGGAAAGTAGGCTAAGAAAAATAGGAAGAAGATAAAGTGATGTTAGGATGTGAGGTTTTCAAAGCGGTGACCATGTTTAGTTTTAGCGCTGTCTCGTTCGAACAAGCCGGTTGCTTCGGATTAATATACGACCTCCGTCCTCAGTAGTCGAAGAAGATGCTAAGCAAGTAACCGCGACAATCATAAACAGTCTGGTTCAGCTCGGCGAAATTTGAGTAACAATTCCAAACATACCATAAAAATATAACGCATAGAAATCGTGTCTAATGTCGCTTGTCACTCGACTCTAGCACGAGTAGTGACATCTGTCATAATTTGCGTGAACTGTTAATACCTGAATGTTGTCACCAGATGTCGCTGATGTGAAACATCAAGAATGTTATGTTACTCTTCAGTATTCATTTATAAAATGATATAAAATTACTTTAATTTTGGGCCGCGCCATAGCTCAAGCGGTTAGTCGCTGTCTTCCCACCGGCGCGGACCGGGTTCGATCCCGGGTCTGGTCAAGTGGGATTTGTGGTGGACAAAGTGACCCTGGGGCAGATTTTCTCCGAGTACTTCGGTTTCCCCTGCCAATCTTCATTCCACCAGTTGCTCCACAATGACCCTCACCTATCATCTGGGGCTGGTACAATAGGCCAGAAGTGGCCGCAGTACAAGGGACTTAGTCACACCCCACTAGCAATAAAAAAACTTTCATTGTACTAGTATATATACTGCAACAACAATGCAGTTAAAAATTAATTCTGCACACTTGTTTTTGTTCATCTTGGTCCGTCACAGTAGCAATAGTATAAAATACTCGTAGCACCGTCCAGTGTCCGTCGGTCCGTCCGACCGAAACATGTTAAGGAAAATGAATTATTAAAATTCAGCTTTTATAAATCAATCACACTGAACGATGCTACGACTCATTTGATACTAATTGTACACACTTATAAGACGTACAAGAGAATATATACAGCGAATGAATACCGATGTACAATAAACCCTGGATAAACCGGTTACAGTTAATCCTGATCGAAATATGAAAAATGAGAAATTTTGTTCACAGTTGAGTACGTACGTTAAGAGACACGTGGGATTTAGGAGCGAGAGGACTTTCAGACTGTGTTGAGGGCAGCTGGACAGACTGAAACCACGCAAGCAAATATCCAAGATTGGCTTCAGCTGGATGAAGGAGACCCAGGAGTTTAGCTTCTGACAGTACAAGAATTTCCTCTACTCATATTTTTTTTAAATTATTTTCTTAATCATTACCTATATTGTTAGATTTTCCATGTATGTGTTTTCTAAGTTTTTTTTTTTTACTTTTAGGGCTATCTTTCGCTTCATTAATCCGGATAACCTCACCGTAAATTACTACGAATTTGGGAAAACTTTGTCAAGATTGCGCCAATTAATTAGATGAGCTAGAACGAATTTCGAGTGACGTAATGTTTTTGGACGTTGCTGGAATGCGGTAAAATTTGTGCTGCTGATATTGTCTGCATTGTTCGTTTTGCGTGGTTAAATTTTATGAGTGACAAACGTTCTAGAAGTTGATTCGAGTTTCACCGGCTCAGACATTGGGGTTCCCCGTCTTGCGGTGGCATGAAATTCCTCTGAATAACAGACTTCTCAGCCTCCTGCATCTTCACCGGTTGTCGCCTGGTTACGACTTCCAACACCGTAGCATCCACAGTTTCCTTGCTCATGACCTTACTATCCGGCGACTGTCTCACAACTGACTAAACTCTAGACTTCCCCTACTTATAACATCTCGGCACGGACCGCATAGAGAACATCACTTCCAACAGTTCTTCTATTTTTGCGTCACGTAGCTTTCACACGAGCCAAGTAGAGAACACATCTTCCTATTTACTATTTGTTATGAATCTATTGTGGCCATTACCTTGCAACGGCTGTTGTATAGCTGATTATTTCGCGGTCGTTGTCTAGCAATGGGTGTACATTCCACAGTGTGTATTCCGTCACCATCTGTGTATTGCTGAAGAATTACCTGATGATGATTTGTCTGTGAATTGATTAATGAAAGTATTTGTGTTACGGTAACCCCTCCAATTTTATTTGGCAGCCTGAACAACCCCCCAGTGAAAACATTGCAGTATCTTACACAGAGACTGCGATGCATTCTTTTGAATGTGACAGGAACTCTCGAACCCAGGAGCAAGAAGAAAGACAAAGCGGCAGATCATTGCTGTCAAAAAGTTTAGATGAATTGAACTGAGAGAATAACAGAAAATGGAATTGAATGAGAAAATTCTTATAGGAGTGATTAGAGCCTGTTGGGGTTGGTCATAATTAAAGCAGGTCTCATTAACTTATACCCTTATACGAATCTTTTCATAAGTAGCCTTCACCCGGCTTCTGAATTGAAACGCTTTCCCAGTATTTCTCATTCTATAATTATAACTACCCCCATTATTGGTGTCAATTTAGACATTTTATAATTATTTAATAAGGACGTAACTATTCGTTTTTATTGTAATTTCCTCGTTGTGCTTCATTTATACATATCTCTTCCTAATTTCTGCTTTCGTAATCACAGCAATTCAGAGTTTAATGTTGAAACTTTTCCTTCTTGTGAAACTTACTTCTCTGTCAGGGGTAACCCCAGAGGCTGAGCCCGAAATCAGCTCAGACTGACCGCCATGACTCACTAAGACGCCCAAAAATACTATGACTTTCTATTACAAGAAAACATTGGCGTGATAAATTATCATCATTTTCCGTTCACTAGTCAGAGGGCAGTAAAATATACAAAACTATGATTTTGCCTGTAGTTTCGTATGGATATGAAACTTGGTCTCTAACATTAAGGGAAGATCGGAGGTGTTCGAGAATATTTGGACCCAAGAAGGAAGAAATAACAAGAGGCTGAAGAAGATTGCGTAATTAGTTCATAAGTTGTACTCTTCGCCAGTTACAAGGTGATTCTAAATCATTGTCGTGGTTTCCGTGGTTCATAATTTTCAAACGGGGAAACAACATACAAATTTATTACCTGTAGAATCAATACTATGAATATGGCGAGCCAAATAAAACTTTCTGACTTTCGCTTTCATATTTCGTAAACAGTTTTGTTTTAGTAATTCTGTTTTGAAAATTATAGGTCATGGAAACGCCGACAATAATTTAGAAACATTCTGTATAATAAGAATAAAAAATCAAGGAGGATGAGATGTGAAGAGCAAGTAGCACGCATGGTAGAGAAGATAAATGCGTACGGAATTTGGTAGGAAAACCAGGAGAGACCACTAGGAAGACCTAGATATAGGCAGGAGGATAATATTAAAATGGATCATAAGGAAATATGATGGAGTGAAATGGATTGGTTTAGTCTGACTCAGGATAAGGAGAAGTCGTGGGCTCTTGGGAACACGGTAATGAACTTGTGGGTTGCCTAAAATCTTGGGGAGGTATTTGAATAAATGAATGACTTTTGGCTTCTCAGAAATCATCTTACAATTCACTCTACGCAATCTGAGCTAGTGACACCGTATTTTAATAACATATAAAAAGTAAATGAATGCACTCGAGGGTGTCACGGCTGTGACGCTGAAGATTGTGGTTTAGTGCTCCGTAACGCCTTGTATTTCGGAGTATTCCCCTTGGCTTACTCTCCAACCCAGAAGAAGGTTATATGATCCTCTGAAGTAGAGTGAATGAGTGAGTTATAAATAAAAATTCTCTCCTGATACACAGTCAAAGACAGAGAGCTTCTCTTGCGATGTAACATCGTGTAGTCTGATAGACGTAGACAGACGTTTCGGAGGAACGTACTGCATCCATCTTCAGGGTCTTATTGCTGCCTGATTTCTCTCTTGGCTCACGCTTTCACGTTTCGACATTGAATATGAAAGCAGTAAGCTCCTCCGAAAAATCCCACCACTTCTATCAGACTACATGGCGTCAAATCCCAGAAGCTAAATTTCGTTATAGTCGCCTCTGCGGGAACCTCAAACCCAGCAACACAGATACGGCTGGTATTATTATACTTTGTGTCTTATTAAAGTGCGACAGGTAGACTCTCTGTATACAATTCGTTAATTAGAGATGCTGCGTTCATGAGCTAACTGTAACAGCACCAAAGTTATTGCTTAAATATGTAGGAGTCAAACCACCATTTATCAAAACAAGCTTTACAGTCTCGTCAGAATAATTCTGTTGAGGTTGGAGTCGTACTGATTTAGTATTAAATCATTCTCTCTTAAACTATCGAACTTATAACAAATATAGTTCTTGTATAAATTTTTGGTTGAAAGCGGGCTCTTCCAACGTAATATTTGAATTTCGCGGTTTCATATATTTCGAATTTCGGACTTCAGATGTTTCTCTGTAGTTCAGAGATCGGCCGCCTTGTGGCAGCACTGCCGCCGTAATGACGGTCGGTACAGCAGAAGTGATTTGCAGCTGGCAAACTTACTGTGGAAAAGACAGGAGGCGGTTCGTTGTACTGTGTGTGTCGTTTACTGGCGGCATGTTTACTATACGAAGTTCTCATTTATGTACACAGTTTTTTTAATCGTGTGATAGTTTTGACGTGTGATTCAAGGAAAGATGCGCGTGGTTTTCACTGTATACCGTATCGACTATGCCCGCAGCACTGGGAAGGCGGGAGGGTGCAGAGAAATCTGTAAGATGGCGAGAAAAAGATGCTGAAGATGACAGAATGTTTTGAGGTTATGTTGAAGTTCCTTTACTGCAGTATCCATACCGTTCCCACAATACAATAATAATTTAAGCCATGAGGTGAATTGAGGTGATATAGTGCTGTAAGGTAAATTTGGCGTTTCACTATGCAGGCAAAGAAACGATACCTCCTAGTATTATTGTCATGTGCTTTTCTGGCGTACTGTTATTTCGGAGGATACAGATTGAAAAGTGAAAGTGCGCGATTACCGTATGAAAATCTTCCTTCCTATGTGGATATAAATGAACAGTTTTATGACCGTGATTTGGAATCCTCACCACATCTAAGACGGACCGGTGGCACACAGAAGTGGACGAGCAATAATAATAATAAAAATAAATACGTTAATAGCAACCAGAGGTGTCGTATGGAAACATGTTTCGATTTTAGTAAGTGTCGTGGTGAATTTAAAGTGTATATTTATCCCCTGTCTGAAGAATCAGAAACTGCAACAATTTTAACCCCAAGTCCATCATATCAAAAAGTGTTGAATGTTATTCAAGAATCGCGTTACTATACAGCAGATCCTAGTCAAGCCTGTCTATTTGTTTTAGCTATTGATACATTAGATAGAGATACCCTTTCAACTGACTATGTTCGAAATGTCCCCTCTCGTTTGCAGAAACTGAGGCTATGGAATGAAGGTAGGAATCACGTTATATTTAATCTGTACTCTGGCACATGGCCTGATTATGCTGAAGACAACCTGGGTTTCGATCCTGGAATGGCCATTTTAGCAAAAGCAAGCATGTCAGTTACAAACTTTAGACCTGGTTTTGATGTTTCAATACCTCTCTTTCATAAAAATCACCCAGAGAAGGGAGGTGAACCTGGTTTTGTTACAACAAACAATTTTCCAGTGTCAAAAAAGTACTTACTTGCATTTAAGGGGAAACGCTATGTGCATGGTATTGGTTCTGAGACGCGTAACTCGTTGTACCATCTCCATAACGAGAAGGATATTGTGTTGGTGACAACGTGTCGTCACGGGAAGAGCTGGAAGGACTTGAAGGACGAGCGGTGTGATGAGGACAATGCAGAATATGACAGGTAAAGAACCACAACTGATCCTGCATGAGATGTATTGGTAGAAAAGACAATTTAGAGTATGCGTCACATGTTAAGTTAAGTTGGTTTAGCCATGTTAGTGAGTTCCTGTAATTGTCACTGTAGAGTTCTTCATGCATAGATGGGTGGACAATACTAAAATAGATCTTAGAGACATAGGATGGGATGGTTTGGATTGGATTAATATGGCCCAGGATAGGGACCAGTGGAAGGCTCTTGTGAACACGGAAATGAACCTTCGGGTTCAATAAATTCCTGGGAAATTCTTGAGTAGCTGCAGATTTGGCTTCTCCTCAAGAAGGGCTCAGCTCCATAAATAAGTAAGAGCTCTTCATGGGTCATGCCATGTGGAAGGAAATATATATCATGATTAATAATAATTTTGGTGGAGATATTTGAATGTCCTTTCCTGTCGAAAGAAACAAGGTTGGAATAAGGGGTTAGGTTCTCACAGCAATGAATAAAAAGATTTGATGTCTCCTGGCATTTGATGTTGTGTTAAGTATGAATGTTTCAGAGGAATATGCCCCTTCCATCCTCAGAATAGAAGACTGACTGAAGATAGAGGTTGCAGGTTCCTTCAAAATTTTTACCATCCCACACGGCACATCTTAGGAGGTGGGAATGTTCATGTAGGTCATTGTCTGGCTGAGTTTTGTGAGTCAGGTTTATGTATTGACATAAAGGACAGGCATTAAATTATTGTGCTTCTACCAGTAAGGGCTACGATATAACGCACAAGTTTCTGTTAAATATATTTACAGTGGCATGTAATGGACTCACTTTGGCTGTACAAAATTCTATAAGCCATTGCTTTTATTATATGCAATACAGTCTTCAATGCAGCCTCACAGATCATTGGCCAAATCAAGGAATGCTCAACTCCTTCATGTAAATTTATGACATGTTTTGGCCTTGCAGGCCATCATCAAGTTTATATGATGAATTGCATAAAACTTTGTGCTGTACTGTTATATAGCCTGTGAGGGCCATGCATCTGGAAAGTTTATTCTTTTAAAAAACCATATTGGATCTTCTTAAAATAATTCAACATATGAAATCATTTTAAAATAATTTTAAATGATGTAAAATGATGTATGCTGGGTCATAGTGTTCTTGTTGCTCGTGCTCTGTTTTGTGTGGCAGTGGTGTCTTGGTTAGGTTTGCTCTGGTGGTCAGTGGGTGATGGTATTACATCTCTGAGGGCAGTAATCTTCGTGAAGATTACCATCTCCTGAGATGTCATATCGTAACGGTCTGCTTGTTACCTGCATCATGCTTGTTTCTTGCTTGGCGTATTCTTTGACCCTGAAGATGGAGGGGACATGTTCCTCCAAAACCTCTGTTCGCTTTCAACAGCCTACATGGCGTTGTATCCCAGAAGAAAGCGCTGTCCATAATTTTATATTTGGCGATTCGCAACTGAATGCAGAGTGGTTCTGTGGAATGTGTTCATATGAGAATTGTGGGGTGTGGATGGGTTAGTCATACAAAAGCGTCACCCTCCCTCCCACAGTGGCAATTAAGCCGTTGCCATACTTCTCACTTCCAACTCAAATTTTAGACATAAATACACAGCCTGTAGTTAGTGGTTAGCCGGTTGTAGCAGAAGGTGGAAACAGTTAATGGCAGTATGAGGGACATTTTCTTCATAAGGTATTGCAGTCAAACCAAGTTAACAGAACCTGCATATTCAGTGATTCTGGAGTGTCTACCAAGCGTTTTGGTGTATAATGTGAGGGTTTGGATGGAAATTTTCAAAATTTACCGTCAAATTTTGATTGGACATTTCGCTAGTTTGATTAGGGGAAAGTTGGGGTAAAACGGGGCAATAGGGGGTTTCTCATTATTGCTGTCTTGTGAAGTTTTAATGTTTTTTTTATTTTGGGGGGGGGCACGCGAGTCTGTCGGTAGGCAGGGCGAATCAACGTGGTTGCTTGGTTGTAATCTGTTCTTGGTGTGTACTTGTAAATTGTTTTTGAGTTCAATTGATGTTCAGTGCACTTACATTTCAACACTGAACATTCAGAAGACACATACTTATGTGTACAGGACTCAGTAAGTTTTGTTTCAGATTATATTTAATTCTGGAAGCCTGTGTAAAGTGTTTTCATTGAAGTAATCGAGTGTGTTGTATAACAGAACCAGAGTACCGCGCATTACGCCGCCGTACCAGGCAAAACGGGGTGTTTTCTTCTTTTTATAAAACTAATAGTTACAACAAAACCATTGTATGTAACCAAAAAATAAGTCTCACGTGTGAAACCATAAGAAATGAGCATCATCTCGAGGAGATCTGACATTTATACCGAAAATAATTGATGTCTCCAGACGGTTAGAGTTAATGTAGCGTGAATTGCCCTGCTTTCCCCTATGTTATCTATATTTGTTTCTTTTAACTTGTAGCTTACATCCTATTTTCCTTACAAATTTTCGTGCTTGATGCTTTCATGACTGAGTTTATCAAGAAGGTTAGTAGTGTGTACAACGTGATAGAATTAACCTAAAACATTGTCTCGTATTGAGGGGAATGTCCGGATTTAAACCTGCCAGTCAGTTTACAGAGCAGTATCACAGCGTTGTGAGTTATACATTTAACATGGGGGCATCTCATTTCGAGCATTGTTTTAATTCACTGGGTAGTAATGACATTGAGCCGGGATAGCGTAGTCGATATAGCGACTGGCTGCGGGTTGGACAACCGAGGGGTCGGACTTCGAGTCCCTGTCAATAATTTTCTCCACGTCGTCCAGACCGGCTCTGGGGTCCACCCAACCTCCTGTCCAGTGGTACCGGGGCCACTTCCCACGGGGGTAAAACTACCGGGGCGTGAAACCGAGGTCAAGAAATGTGAATGTCAACTTCAGCGATAGAGGGTGTCACGTGGTCAGTGCAATGGATCTCCACGGCCGGTAATCTCGGTTTTCTAGACCGGAGCCGCTATTTCCTTTAACCTAACCTTCCGACCTGCAGCACAGTGCCACCGCGTGTCCCTCCTACTTTGTCTTTAGAGACTTAAAACGGATACTAAACGACAGGTGCAAGTGGGGGGGGGCTCCTGAGAACACGGTACAGGCCTTCCGAGTAAATAAAACGCTGGTAACTTATTGACCACCTGAGCAACTACCAGTTTTTCAAGAAGGACTCTGCTGCTTGGGGTTTATTCTTTTAATTGTGCAATGTAAAGAAACTAAGTGATGTCCCTCCTGCGGCCCATACGGCGTGTCCACGAAATGTAGCAAAATACGTTACACTAGAAACAATTAATATTCTTATTCTTCTCCAAGTATAATTAGAATGATCAAATCGAGGAAGATGAGGTGGGCAGGGCATGTAGCACGAATGGGGAGACGAGGAATGCGTATAGGATATTGGTGGGAAAGCTAGAAGGAAAGAGACCACTGGGAAGACCAAGGCGTAGATTCGTGGACAATATTAGAATGGTAGACTTGAAAGAATTCTGACGATGGTGAATACTGTACTTTTTTTGGCTTGTTTTGGACTTCATCCATCGTCTGGTATGTAAAAGACAAAGACCACGACGTTTCGGAGACCGGATCTGTCTCCGTCTTCAGGTAGTCGAGTGATTGAGACTAGCTCTTTCTAACGGGCCTAACTGAGTAGGTTTATCCTTCTCTACCCACCTGAAGACGGAGACACATCCAGTCTCCGAAACGTCGTGGTCATTTGTCTTTTACATACCAGACGATGGATGAAGTCCAAAACAAGCCAAAAGAAGTACGGTATTAAAATGGATCTTAGATAGGATGGGATGGTATGGATTTAATTGATCTGGCTCAGGATAGGGACCGGTGGAGGGCTCTTGTGAACACGGTAATGAACCTTCGGGTTCCATAAAATGCTGGGAAATTCTTGAGTAGCTGCAGAATTGGCGGCTCCTCCAGAAGGGCTCAGGTCCGTGAGTGAGTAAGTAAGTAAGTAAGAAAGAAAGAAAGAAAGAAAGAAGTTACATCACAGCCTTCCGTGTTTAAACGCCCTCAGACTTAATAGATTAACAAGATAAGATCGGTTATACTTCAGCAGGCGGTGGCCTGCGAGCCGCATGCATCGCGGCCATGGACACTTATCTGAAAGAGCTAATAACGCAGTGAACGGCTGGTGGACACATCACAACCGAGTGACTCCTGGCATAAATCCAGATTTATATAATAGCGAAAGATTGGCCTATTTATCTTCCTGAGAGTATTCTAATATACAGGTTGGCACAAAATTCGGTTAACTGGTTAGTAAAATATACGTACAATAACATACGTTAGAAATGTAATTACTAAAAAGGTAACGTTGTCCCTGTGCTTAACTAATTAAGCACTACGCCATGAAGGCGTATGGGGAAGTGGATGTATAACTCCGTGGCCTGTAATCCGAAAGCGAAGTATACCGACCGAGCGACCGCCTCTGTGTCCTAGCGGTCAGAGTTCCTAGTTACAGATTAAGAGGTCCCGGGTTCGATTCCCGGCACTGCCAGATTTTCTGAGACGTGGTGGGTCTGGAACGGGGTCCACTCAGCCTCGTGAGGATAATTGAGGAGCTATTTCAAGGAAATAGCGGCTCCGGTCTAGAATACCGAGATTAATGGCCGTGGGGATCCGTTGCGCTGATCACGTGACACCCTCTATCCGCCAAAGTTGGCATTGACTTCGCCAGTAAGCCGAGCTAGACATCATCGTGAAAGTAGATGGAAAGCCGAGAGATATTGTCTCGGTTTGTTCGAACCTGAAGATGGAAGCGAACTGCATAATGAGGAGCTTCATTACTTGTACTCTTCTCCAAGTATAATTAGAATGATCAAGTCAAGGAAGATGAGGTGGGCAGGTCTAGCAGCGCGAATGGGGGAGACGAGGAATGCGTATAGGATGTTGGTGGGAAAGCCAGAAAGAAAGAGACCAGAGGGAAGACCATGCCGTAGGTGGGTGGACAATATTAGAATGGATCTTAGAGAGATAGGATGACATGGTATGGAT